CTATTTTAGGTCTGCCTCAGGGGTCATTTTTAGACCTGCCCTGGGAAATAGCATGGATTTATAGTGCTTGGGTTGATTAGCATCTTAATCATCTGGAGATTTTTAAATCACTATAATTCAAACAGGAAAATACAGTTAGCCTACTAAAAAGTGAATACAGAAAGATCCAAATGAATTGTTTAGGAAGAGAACTAAAATAAATTGTTAGTAAACCCCAAAGTCAACATTTCAGAAGGTCTTCATTAGCAATGTGAATGCCCAATGTTTTGCCGAGTGCTTTTAGAGGAAGTTTTGAATTTCTCACCCATGGAAGGTTTGAGAGTGGCAGGCCACCAGGTAAAAACCAGAAGGAGAGTGCAGAAAGTCACTACTGGCAATTGGCAGTCGGAATTTCCCCTCAAAGACATGGAGAAAATTGCATTTCCTTGTATGACTGGATTCATGGAAACAAGACAGAAAGAGCCATTTCCATTTTCAAGAGATTTCTTCATTGCACCTTAGAGCTAGTGTGTCTGGTTCAGATGTGGGAACCGAGTGGAAACCCAGTGGGAAACGAGTTCTAGGTGAGTGCATGAGAATCCTGGTTTCTAATGTTTCTGATGAAACCATGGACAAGCCACTTGACTGCTCTCAGCAATGGATGGGACGGAACCAGATGCTCTCAGGCATTCCTTCCAGGTACTGGAATTCTAATGACAAGGCTCCAGATGAGTCCGACTGCTCAGCCTGGGGTTGATACTGAAAGCATAAGTAAGAAAGGAAGGCTTCATTCCCTGGGCACATTCTTCTAATTCTGGTAAGACTGCGGTTTGACACAAGAAAACAAAAGGATCAAGCTTTTGAGATTAGTTGGATTGGAGCCTGGGTGAATATTCCTTGTGAATATCATGGAAAGGTCACAATCCAGGGCTTATTTCCCTCAGAGTCTCTGGTTAGTATTTCCCCTCAGCTCCTTCAGAGAGAACTCTCACTGGTCAATACCAACTTCAAACCCAATCGGAAATCACATAGGAATCTCTATGAACAGCTGCCAAATGGAAAGTAGTATGAAGCACACCAACGAACAAATATTACAGATATATTGTCCGCTATTAGCTTTTAATAACATAAATCTTTTAGTGACTAMACTTAGACATTCTCTCTGCTTCTAACACTGATGTGGAATCCTGTGTCAAATTTCTTTCAACTAATAAATGAAATAGGGAGTGGAGAGGAGAAAGCTCACCAGTCTTGGCCAATCCCCAGGACGTTTTTTAAAGCGCATGGTTAATTTTATCCGGGGTCTCAAATTGACCAGTTCTGGGATTATAAAGGTGTTACATCACACATATTGTGGAATTCATTTAACATATTTTTATAATTTTGGTTTAGTCTTGGAATGTGCATGGATACTTATGTGGTTTCCCTTTGGCCATATTCCTAGTTGTGTTTAGGATACTTTTAATTATATTTGATTTTCATTGTATTTTTTATGTAATCGTTTAGAAAAATCATGGATTCGGTGTTCATGGTATTTTAAAACCACTAAGGAAGTTAATAATTTTTAACAAAATCATCAGTGGTAGTGACTTGCCAGAAGGTCAGAGTTACTGGTTCAACATCATGGAGTCCATTAACATTCTAGAATAATATGTATCCTAAATACATAGGAATAAAAAGCTCATGTGTTCTAGTAGTTCTAGACAGGACTACCCTAATTAACTTGAGAACAATGGTTAGAAATTATGTGGAGTTAAGGAAACATCCAAGCAGATTTTCCATTGAAAGCAGTCTATATTTCTTTCGGAAATTGTGCATCAGGGTGAATAAAATATCAAGTTCCGTGTGCTTAAGGCAATCAAAAACTCTTTTCTATGTCGTTTCATTGACACCTCATGTGACTATTAATTTTCCTAATCCCTGCCATTCTTCCAGCAAAAGACAAAACATTGTATCTTATGTTCTTATAATAAATGTGGTTAGTTAATATTTATTTAAAACTAAAGTTTAAAATGGTCTCTGAAAGAAATCATGATAATGCTATTTATTAAGGCAAACACAAAATTGCATGCGTGAATTTGACAACATTTAATCATCTATTTCATAATCACAATCTTGGAAGAATTGAGAAACAGAAAGGCCCCTTACATCTCACAAATGAAATGCCTACTTCATTGTGTTTTGTTCTCTTCACGAATCATTTGACTATATTTAATGAAAAAAAATGAAAGCGCTTGATGTTCTAGTCAAAACTGGTTTCCTCTCTTTGAGTCAGGCAGGTCAAAACAGGCTGACATTTAATATTATTTGTTTACCTTGGTTTTATCTTTAATGCATCTGAGAATCTTAAAAAGCAAATACATAGCTGGTTAAACAAACTAAATGAAAAGATAGAACTTTGATGACACAGTCTTTTCCAAGGAAATTGTGTTGCAAGCAAGGATTAATAATGAATAAAGGATCTTAGAAATATGTTTTTTCAGTGGTGTAGTTAAGAAGTTCACATCAATTGTCACTAAATTGTCCATATCTTTAGAAGGATAAACTTTGGGGTAGGATTAGATTCTAGGATTTCTGTGACCTAACTATATGACATCACAGGATTGGAGTTGAATATTTTACTGAAAAAAAGTTGGTTGTTCAGAATGTTGATTTAAGTATGTGAAAATGAGGAAAGGAAGGGTTATAGCTAAATGGAAAGTAGAACACAAAATATAAACATAAAGTTCAGTTGGAAATAAACATAAATAGAAGTGGCTGTAGATACTCCAGAATTTCCCAGCATGAAAATAAGAAACAAACAAAATATTTTCTACTTTAACCACAAAGAAAGTAGCAAGAGAAAAGATGAGACACACGCATGCACACACACACACACACACACACACAGAGAGAGAGAGAGAGAGAGAGAGAGAGAGAGAGAGAGAGAGAGAGAAAAAGAGAGGGATTGTAAAAAGCGACCCATTCATTTAGAGCAATAACCATAGAATCAAAAGGAGAGTCTTAATTCAAAACAAGAGAATTTGATTTGGGCACTTATTATTCAGAAGATCAAGGAGAAAGATAGACAATGATATTTATAATGTGGAACAAAAAAAGTTTTAAGAAATGAATGCATGAAATTTATTTGTTATAGAAAAATTTTCACAGTTATAGTTGAATGATATCTGGTGAAGATATTTGTCCTACCATATAAATACTATTCAAACAGTATTATAGTATATGCAGCATTCCATACCCTGTCAGACCTTACTTGTAGGGATGACTACTAACAAGAAACTAACACCTCCTAGTAGGAAAGAAACCTGCAGAGCAATTCAGCACCCAAGGGTTGACTGACAGATTTGAAAGACTTGTTAATGACGCATGTATGAACTTGCATGTGCTTAAGATAAGTGGTTCTTTAACAAAGAATCTTTTCTGAACTTCTTTGGAAGCATAGTCCTTGGAGAACTTGGTTAGGGGTTGAATCAGCTGCTTGTCTTAATTTCCCATTGGGTTTTTTTTTCCTTTTTTCTTTTTTTAATCATTCTTATCTGAAGCCAGAGCCAATAATCCTAAACATTTTGAATAATATTTAACTTTTCTAGGACTTGGAGCTTACCTATCTATAGATAAACCAGTTTTTTTTTCTGGTTGTAATATGTAATATGTCTGCTAAATGTATATAAAATAACTCCCTTGTGTAACTTAGAATTAAGTAARTTACTTGACTTTCCTTACACAGGTATTCTGTTGGTAAGTAAAGAAATAAGGTTTAGTGATGATTCATTTTGGTTAGCTTTGTACTCTTTTCTAATGATACAGAATGCTGACTTTGAGCAAAATGTTAACCCAAAACAAAGCATTACATTTTTCTCATTGGTAGACCTATATTGCAAAGGTTTTATTATGCAAAAAATTATATTCATCTATTAATGTTATTAAATTTTGAATTTCGCAATAAAAATCTTATGGAAATGTGTGCTGGATGTATTTGTTCTCATTCACTTTTTTTTTTTTCACTCGTGCTTCTTTTCAAGGCATTGGGAATACCACAGGGAACAAGTTTTCTTTTAAAAATATGCTGCCCTCATACAACTTATATTCATATTATCTACATTATCTCCTCACAACTATGCTTCATGGAAGGTTTCATTTTTCTCATTTCATACACAGGCAATGTGCAGTTCAGAGAGCTTAATACATAGCTTGCCTGGAGTTTCTCAACCAGAATTAAGCCCGAGTATGCCTGATTCCAGGTCTTGAGCATTGATCTAACCAATGGGCAAAAGTGGCTTCCCAGGCTAGGTAGGCTCCATGCTTGGTTTAATGTTCTACTATCACAATCTTGAAATTCTTAATAGTGTTTGAACAAGGTTTTGAATGCAAGCTTTTGAACAATGAATACATTTTCATTTTGCACTGGATCCCAGAAATAACATAGCTGGTCCTACCACTAGGCAAAAGTGCTTCTATTCAGATCTCAGATCACATTCCTGCCAGGGCTGGTTTTTTTTTTTTTTTTTTTTTTTACAATCCTACACGAATATATCTACTTAGAAGCCTTGAAATCTATCAAGTTCTTTAGAATCATAAGGTATTATTAATCAATTATTTTATATTTCAGTCAACAAAAGGACAGGGAATTCTTTGAGGGCCTAGACTCTCTCCCACGTCAATATTTTGTATTTATTCTGCATCTAACACTCTTCTGAGAACACAGTCAGTAAGCCATGAAGTTCCACTAATATTTGAACTTTCCCAATGGTAAGGATTGGCTCTCTATTACCTTAATTTTCTTCCACAGCAGAGCACAACATTGTTACCATCAGTGGTTTTTCTCTGGTCTTTTTCGCATTTGTCAATTTTGAAACGGGATATTAGATCTGTGTTGAGCAAAATCCAAGAATTGACCTGTTCTTCTATGAAGAAATTCTTTGTCCCACAGTCAGTGACGTGAAGCACTGACTTCTGAGGAGGACTCCAAGTTCACAGCATTTATTAAAACAGATGCTTTGTCTCCCCTCTGTGTCTTCCAGCCTAGCCATTGTTGGTTACACGAGATGGTAATACAGTTGTCAGTCAGCCTGACTAATCTTCTGGACAAGTTTTCAAATATTTCTGAAGGCTTGAGTAATTATTCTATCATAGACAAACTTGGGAAAATAGTGGATGACCTTGTGGAGTGTGTGGAAGAAAACTCACCTAAGGTACTTCTGTCTTCATTGAGATTGTTTTTTTTKTTGTTGTTGTTATTCTTCTCTAAAACCTATGCCAATTGATGGTTTTGAGGAAAAAGGGGGCATCTTGATTTTGTGTTATTTTGAACTTATAAACTTTGTGTTTAAAAACATTTTAAGTTAAGCATAGAAAACAAATGTTTGTATTTATATTTCAGTAACAAGATGTACATTCACGCTAAATATTGTCACCTAATATAAAAATAAGATTTCTTTATACTATAATGTAAATTCAGCTCTTCCTTTACTTTTATTTCATACGAAATTTGCAAAACCTTCCTATTAGGTTCCAAAGTTTATTTAAATGGGAAATTTCTGTTATGAAGGCTTACACTTGCTCTTGTATCCATAATGTAACTACCTCATATGTCACAACAAAAAAGTGTACTTTGGTCCATTAGACTTGGATAATGAGTCATCACCAACCTCAGGATGTGGGCATGACATTACTTTGACTTCTAAGCATAAGGGATAGGGAGTGTACCCCAAAACTTAAGAAATTAGATGTTGGTCCAAATTCCAAGTCTCTCACTAATTGACTTTGTGTACCTACCTTCTCTACGCCTTGCTTTCTGTATGCCTAAAATGTGGATAGTGGCAGAAACCTGTCCTAAAGGTTGACATTATAGGATCTGTGATACGAGCTTTAACACCATATCTGGAAAATAAATGTTAATAAATTTTGACATCATTGTTGTTTATCGCACTGTTTCTATGATACACTAGGGCTTTCTAAGAAACCTGCTTTGCTGTAGAGCTCAACTGGTCAAAGTTTAACCTTCCAGATTTCTAGAAGCTTAAACCCAAAGGATTGTTTTGTTATTATTTTTGGTTTGCTTTGCAGTACTCATGGTCGAATCTAGGGACACTTTATAACTGAGCCCCTAGCCTTTTTTAGTTTTTATTTTGAAATAGGGTCTCACTAAATTGACAAGGCCGGCCTTGAACTTGTGATCCTTCTGTCTCAGCTTCCCAAGTTACTGGAATGACAGGTATAGGCCACCATGCCTAGCTAAACTCAAAGTTTTAAACATGAATCTGTTTCTTAATACCTAGATGCCCTCTCTACTCTCCCATCCAAATTCCAGCTACTCTCTAAGACCTAATGTCAGTGCCACTTAATGCTTCCCAATCTTAAAATATTTATCATRCTAACAACCTAATCTTTACATTTTACATAGTTAGTATCAGACTTTTATCTTTGGATATTGGATCATGTGTTATAGAGGGGTCTTTTAAAAAATCAATACAAGTATTTTTAATGAGCATCTATACAAAAAGTCCTGTTTGTTTCAGGATTATTTCACTGATAGTATACTGTGTTCATTGTCCCCCTCCCTCTCCTTCCATTGCTGTGGTCATGAGTCAAGTCCCAAACAGGCCTGATGGTTCACTATCCTACCTTACCTAATTGAATTATGTACAAAGAACTGTTTAAAAGTGTTAGCTTTTAGAATTCATATACTTGAATATATGAAGGACCTATTTGTAATCTATTATCTTGACCTCAGTTAAGTCTGTATACTATTTGAAAAATATAATCTTGGTTTTATTGTTTTGATTTTTTTTTCCCTCTAGAATGTAAAAGAGTCATCTAAGAGGCCAGAACCCAGGCTCTTTACTCCTGAAGAATTCTTTAGGATTTTTAATAGATCCATTGATGCCTTCAAGGACTTTATGGTGGCATCTGAAACTAGTGATTGTGTGCTTTCTTCAACGTTAAGTCCTGAAAAAGGTGAGACACACTGCATCTCCAATCTAAATGTAAATAGCATGCTTGAACTTTGTATGAGTAAGAGTCTACTTGTGAACCAAATATATGTGTAGCTAAAGCAAATATTGATGGTATTAAAGAAATTAATGATTGTAGCTTTGTTGGTTTCTAAAGGAAAACAATATTTAGTCATTTTTAAATTAAAGAATTGTTTGTGAGTAAATAATATATGAGATAATTGCTCATATTTTTTTCTTACCCGATTATTTGCTGATAATGTACAATTATATTATTCTTCACCTTCAGTTTTCTTAATGTTCCCTTCTCAAATCTTTCCCTTAAGAATCTAAAACTCTGAGTCATGAATTGTGATCCTCACCAGTTACTCTGAATAGATACTCTTTTGATTCTACCCTTGGGTCCCTATAACAAAACCCCAATTTCATTGATTTCCTTTTTTAAATGACAAATTACAACAACTTGTCATTCACATCGATCACGTATGTATGCAATGTAATCAATATTTGTTCTATAATTCCTCTGGTGAATTTCTTAATAAAATAGAAGAGGAGGACTCCATAGGAAATAAATAGGATCCGAATGATCTAGATTTGGGAAGTGGACCTGGCACTGGTACTTGGTATTGTACTTCACCTTTTAGGGACTCTGTAATTTATATAAATCACCATGTAACACTGACACATTATTGCTTTCTATTTAGATTCCAGAGTCAGTGTCACAAAACCATTTATGTTACCCCCTGTTGCAGCCAGCTCCCTTAGGAATGACAGCAGTAGCAGTAATAGTAAGTACATGTATCTGACTTAATGCATGCATGGCTCCAATTAGCCTCTATAGGAGTATTGCATGGGCTTTAAAGGAAATTTATAGAATTAGTATCATTAATACCTTTCTGTTACTATTATTCCTCTTATGGTCTTCCTGAGAATTAAATATTTGGWTTGTAGAATTGGGTTTCCCTAGAGCTTGAGAAAATGTTTAGAGAACAGGGCCAATAAATTTTCTGTTAATATTATTTTAAATAAGGCATGAAGTTAATTTTAGAAATATGATTTAGACTTATCATTGTAGACTTAAAATATATTTTGTGGATAATGGGCCTGACAAAATGGAATTTTAAAATAGAAAATACAAATGCTGGTGWTATAGAATTCCAAGGATATTTTCAGTGTTGTGTTATCTGTGTATCAGTATTCACTATTGTGTGTTTGGAAATTTGGTGATTTTGTTATTTTAACATAAATGTATATGTTGGAAAATATATTTCTTTCCCTGAAATTCTTTTCCTCTTTGGCCATGAATCCAGGTTTCTAGGAGACTATTTGCTCTTTTCAAATCCAGGCAAAGATTGTTATAAAAGTTATTGGATTTGCAAATATGCTGTAGCCCCATGGAAACTGCAGAAAGAAAATAACAGCCATCCCTAAGATTTATAAATGGACCACTGTCCTTTGTTCATGGACGAGGAGACCTTTATATACAAAAAGAAGTGATTTATTACAAATTCACAATAGCTTGTCTACAGTATAGAATATTTCCCATCAAAATTTGACCTGAAATGAGATGAAGTTACCTATCCTAAAAATTAACATTTATACATTTCAATACAGAAGTAATAACATGCTTGATTGTAGGATGCTGCCCAGAACTCACTGGGGGTAGTCTACAATATATCATATTTGCAGAACAGAGTCTTCTAAAATCTAAAATTCTGAATTACATATATAACACATCAGACGTGAAAAGCTTCAAAATAGAACCGGAGATTCACATGTCTGTGTCAATGTAGGCCTTTTGTACTAACTATGAGTAGTCTTCAAAGAAGCAACTTTTAGCTTCTTGAATTCTGTTTATATTTCATTGATTTTTAGTCTTTWTTTTTTCCTTCCTTCTACTTGGTTTGGGTTTAATTTACTCAACTTATTTTAGCTTCTGAAGGTGAGAAAATGTGATCATTTTTAAACTATTTTTTTCTAATTTCTTGAAGGTATATATTTCCTTATAAGCACAGCTTTTGCCACATCCCACACATTTTTACATGTTGTGTTTTCATTTTATTTTTTTTTCAATACTTTTAAATTTTTGTGATTTTTTTCTTTGATTTATAGGTAGTATAAAAGTGGGTGACTTTATAAAGTCTAAAATTGTAAAATTTTTCTAAATATCTTATTGTTATTGGTTTCTAAATTAATTCTGTGATTGTCAGAGAAGATATTCTGTAATATTTTGAAATTTATTGAGAATTACATGTGTTATTCAACTACTTGGTAGAACATTTTCAAATACTGCCAAAGTGGTTTGATACCTTTGTTCGTATCTTGCATTTCTTACTAAATGTTTTACTTATTTTTTATCAGTTACTGAGAAAGATGAATTAAATTTCTTTTTGATTGTGGATTTGACTGATTCTCTGGTTCTTAGTTTTTTGCTTCATATATTTTTGAAGCTATATCATTATGTGCATACACATTT